TGTATATATATATATATATATATATATATATATATATATATATATATTTAATTTTTTAACCAGGGATTGAACCCAGGGGCATTCAATACTAAGTCACATTTGCAGTCCTTTTTTAAACCAAGTGTATTAACAAGTATAGTAAAAAGTTAAATGAAAAATGAAAGCCATGAATGCTGTTTCAAATTAGGATAATTTATTGTAAAGGGAAACTAAAAAGGTTACATTTTGTAAAGTATAGATGGGGATACAAGAAGACATGATGTAGGCAATTATAAGATGATAATTATTCTTAAAATAGTAGATGCTAAATTCTCTTCAATCTTGGCTTGGCCCAGGGTGAGCTTGTTTGCTTTAGTTGATTGAAGTCTAGTATTGGTGATCTTCTTTTGACTTTAGGTGTTGGGTTTCCAGGACACCCATGATTTTAGTAGAAGCGAGAAAATCCATATCCTCCATAGTATGATGGGCGGCCCAATCCATACCCATAGCCTCCAAAGCCAGAGCCATATCCATAGCCTCCATAGCCACAGCCATAGCCCAGTCTGCGGAAGCTGCCGCAGCCACAGCCATAGCCATAGCCCAGGCCACCGAAGCCTCCAAAGCCATAGCCCAGGCCTCCATAGTAGCTGCCGTAGTAGCTCATAGTGTCAGGAGTGGTGAGTTGGTTTGCTGTTCAGGGCGAGATCACAAGTGTGAATGCCAACATGAGCAAAAGGATGCTTATATACCCTGACGGAGCACAGAATAGTCATGAGCACACCCTCCTTTTGTGTCACTCTAGGTATTACCTTTAATGTCACAACTCATTAATCTGCTATCTCATGACACAGAGAGGCCCTTATTCTCATTAAAATACTTCAGTTTATTTAATGTTCTATTTGGGATGTCCTTTAACTTAATGTCTCACCTTTATGAGAAGAAATGACTGACTCTTCAAAATACACACATTCCAAGCCTTAAATAAAATGGCTTGCTACCAAGTACATTGCATCATCTACATGTGATGTATTTTTATTTTATCTCTGTTCTGTTATCTCCCAAAATGATGACTCCATCTCCTACTGTATCCATACCTACTGGCTCAGTTTGCAGATGTTGCATCTGCATTTTTCAAAAAGAAAGCATATTTCTCAAAGTGAGGACTTAAGAAAGGGCCTATTCTTGAAATATATGAAAGCATCTTAAATCAAAAAGTCTTTGTTGGCCTGCTGTGTACAATAGCCTATGGTCTCATGGGAAGAAGGTGCATGGCAAATTTTAGCATTTTAATAATAATAATCTTTGTAATATTTTGGAATTACACACCAGCTTCAGAAACCTTTTAGGCTGTAAAATACATAACCATTAATTCAAAATCTGTCTTGTAATCAGGCTTATCAGAGTAATAGTTTAGTTTTTATTTGAAATCCCCTACGTCTCCCCTATATTTGGTTCTATTCAAAGTCCTACAAAATTGTAGATTGTGTCTTTTCTATTGTACACATTCCAGCCAATTTATTCCTCTCTTTCCCCTTTCAGTAATGCATGCACAACATTATTTTCATTCATACTCTACCTTTTCTTTTCTTCCTGCTCTCACAGTGCTTACTAGGAACAGCCACATAAAAGAACACAGTTATCACACCTTTTGCACTGACTTCCTTTTATTTATCTCAATTAATGCTTCCTCATTTCTCCTTCACCTTCATATTAACTACAAGATATTTACCTTTGTTTTTGTGTCTATTTGGTATCCAGTTATACTCTGGAAAACTTTAGACTACTCCCTCCTTATCTGTTAAAAGACTTTCTTTCTGGTATCCTGTTAAAAACATACCCCATTCCCTAAGGCTTTCTGACAGATTTTAAAAATATAGGTGGTCTTCAAGGTTTTCACAATGAAGTCACAGTGGCAAAATGACATATATCCATTAGGAAATTTGTCCTTGGCTCATTAGACCAGCAGTTCATGAGTCAATGCACCAGGTCCAAGACTGTCCCTCTCCTGGTTTAATCTCCATGTAGCACTAACTTTCAGCTTGGATCACTAAAAGCACATTTAATTCATGTGACTTTGAACATGTTACTGAGTTTTTATGAGGTTTACAAGTATTCTTTCAAAGGTAAATTTCCTATAATAAATTGTTCAGTTCTTGTAAACAACACACTAGGGAATTAATAACTCTTTATTGAACTACTGGAGAAGTCCTACGTAGATTAACAGGAAATCGCTTGGCTCTCCCAATCTGGGCAATACCCTTAGGACACCTTAGCAAGTTGCTCTGAGAGAAAAATGGCTCAGTATGTCTTTTAATGTGTAGAGGAGAGTTTAACCTAAAAAATGTTATTATATTTCCATATAAATAATGTTTTACTCTTATTTATCAACTGCACTTGAAATGGTTGATAAAGTTGTTAAGCTGAATTTTAAACCTCTCTCTTTTACTTTGTGTTTTTGTTTTTGTTTTTTGGTACTGGGGATTGAACCCAGGGTAATTTGGCACCGAACTACACCCCTAGCATTTTTATTCAATTTTTTTTTATTTTGAGACAGGCTTTCACCAGGTTGCCACAGTCTTGCTAATGAATTTTTATTCTCAATGAGAATTTTTGAATACCTAGAAGCACAAATAATAGTTAATATACCACATTTTTGTCCATATAACTCAGCCAGGTAAAGTGAGAATGACTATTAGCTAACAGGTGTTTGAGATGGATAAGTACATATCCACAAAAATGTAAAACCAGGCAAGACATAAATTCAAAACCTCAATAATCAAATAAGCGACTATCCTTTTTATTCTTTTTGAAGGAATAAAACATAACACTTTCCACAAAACCATTTATTATTAGCTGTAAAAGAAAAAAATTACTCAAATATACAATTTACAGAACAGGTTTTCCCTTGTTAGTTTCAAGTGAAAGAATAAACAAATGAAGATATCCATTATAATAGAGTGACACACATTTCTTTGAAAAGATATTGGTTGTATGCTAAGTTGTAAAACCTAAAGTGAACTGAAAAATTATCTTTTTATTTTTTCTTTTCTCTTTCAAATTTACTTTGAAACTATATTGAATAACTCCATCATAATAGATAGAAAAAAGGAAAATAGGTTCGAACTTGGGATGAGTGACAGCCTTTACCTGCATGTAAAGGAAGATTTTGTTGTAAATTCCTATGCTTTCCCTTAACTCAGACACAAATTAATAAAATCTCAAAATGTATGTTACAAAAATATGTTAATTCATTCTAATTATTCTGATAATTTATTTTCTTTGCAACTTTGTAATTTCTCCTCAATCCATAGAGATGTTGACTTGCACAAAACAGAATATTTTAGAATTCACATTTATGAGTTAACATTCTTTTCAGGGAGTTTGAACATTATCTGCCTTACTTCCTCACCCCCTGACATGAAGTAACAACATGTGAAAAGCAGAAATCATCAATTCTGGCTGAGTTTTATTTTGTTTTATCTTTGTACTGTATGAAAAAATTCAAGTCTTTCATATAAAAAGACATGATCTTGAGTATGGACTTGTAACATTAGTCATTCTTCACTTGCCTTTAGGTATAGCTAAGTTAGCAAATTATACATAGGAGATAAAATACAATAAAAAATTAACAATAGGAATGTTAAAAAAAAGAAGTCTAATGTAATTAAAAGATAGAATTAACCTCCACAAACACTGCAATAAAATTCAAGCCCTTCATGGTAATAAGAATTTTCCAGATGGCATTCAAGTTTGGAGTATGCAATGAAAGAAAATTAGCATTGTGGAGAGGGCACGGGGCTTGGGTTGAACTATTTTCTTGACTTGATTCTGACACTTGTGATGTTTATTATTCCAGGGGAGTCACTGTTGAAGTTTCCACACCTGCTCTATAGGGGGCAGCACTGTGCAATAGTCAGTGTTGGACACAGCTCTTGTTTCTGATGAATTTCATCCCATCTATTAATAATAATGGACTATACTTTATGCCATCACTTGAATGTGCCCTTCTATTTGGGAAAAACAATATATTTCTAGATATTACATGGATCATATTATGTGAAATACCTACAAGGAAACACTTGCTTTGTGATGAATACCAATTGATTACAAATCTAATGGAAAAAAGAAAGAAGTTGGGGGAAGAGAGAACAAGCAAACAAACTTTTCTGGTGAATGCTGATTCTCATCAAATAAAACTGCATGGAGATTTATTTCTTGACTATATCTAGACTTTTATTTTCCTTTTGCAGTTGGAACAGTCTTTAATGTCATTAGGATGATAATATAGTAAAGAAAAGATGGAGAGAATCATTGCATGCCACAGAGGAACTGTGACATTAAAAAAATAACTAAACCAACTAAACATTCTTAGCACTACATATATTTTAATTACCTAATTTGAAATACCTTTAGTAACTTGATAAAAAAATCTATTTGTATGGAAAATCCCAAGTAAAATAACACATCATATAGAATGGATTGAGAAATATTACACATAACCATGACATTTTTAAGATATATATATATATATATATATATATATATATATATATATATTTTTTTTTTTTTTTTTTTTTTCTTTCTGACGTTTAGAGAAAGATTTTGGTCTCCCATTGTTATTTTCTTAGGATGAAAGAGATGAATAAGCACACATTTTGAAAGAACTGATGTGTTGTGTTGTACTACTATTTTGTACTGCATTGAAATGTATAATTTTATAAAATTAAAAATATGTAAATATCTTTATTAGCATAAATACACAGTTGAAAGATATTAGAATTTACTTTTTTACTATTGTCAAGTTTAAATGTTAAACTTATCTAATTAAAAACAAAGAAATTAAGGACATCAAATATATTTGAGAAATAATTATTTAATTCAACCTAAATCTGTTTTTTTCTTTTTAGATGGCTACATCTCGGCTGACCTATCTATGAAATACTTAATACATAAGAAATTACATTGATCTCTACACTGGAAATAGGAAGTTCTTATATTTGTGCTTAGACTACCTAACTAAAACAAATTCAACAAAAGCTCTGTTTGTTGTCTCAAATCTGAAATGAAGAGACTTTATTAAGGAAAATCAGGAGATAGGATGAAGATGAAGTTGTTATAATTAGAAATATACTGTAAGGCCTAGGTGCTATTTATTCTGAACAAATAGACCTAGCATAACCTTGTCTGACCTGGTGACTGAAATTAGGTTCATCAAGTTCACACACAGAACCCAATATCAGATTTCTAAAGAAGAATATGAATAAAGCTAGAGAACATATTTCTTTCATAACAACATGACTGACACAGTCTAGTCTGCAGAAGCTGTTAACCTGTAGCAGTGGCCATGCCCAGACCAGCAAAGCCCCACATCCTTAAGAAGGCCTCTGCATATGTTGATGTAAGAGCTTATACACTTAGGAGTCATAGGCTTGGTCTGCTATTGAAGGAATTTCCTGCATGTGATTCTCATTCTTAAGCAGAGATTTAACATAACACTCTGAGTTTGGGGTGTGGTAAGTCATTTAGACTTACTTAATTTTAATTCCTCTAAAGAAATTGCATGAACAAGTATTACTGGATTTTTTGTTTAATATGTACAAAGTTATCTTCCACATCAGTAAACCTTTAAATTAACATTTTAGCTCAATTATACTTACTCTGATT